GAGACACCCCAAAATTCAAGGAGGTTATATGGAATAAACAAAGTTCAAAGGGTCATCTGCAAAACCCCCAAGGTTCAAGTGAAATTTACCCTATATAAATTTTACGCTAAGCTAAAAGTTTTGAAACCACAATAGTTTCACTGTTTTGTCCACTTTATTTGGATAGAAATATAAAGAAGAGTTTCTACCCCATATATTAGATGGATTCTTTCGGTACAGTTTTGAAGAACTTTGGCCGTGCTAGCCACTGATCATGGAAACACATTTCAACGCAATAGTGCAAAGAAATCTTTGTGTTCACTATGGCATGTAATTTACTAAAAGTTGAACTAAACTTGCCCTGGTATATTAAAGGAAAAAAATTAAAAAATTTGCATCCATAATCAGATTTATGCAATTACAATTTAATGTAAATGGATCCAAAACAGGATAATAAAATAGCCAAGAAGAGCAGTGGCAATATAGAAATAATTCAAAAGCTGCACTTGCAACTTTTATTCCACTTTAACATCTAGCAATGATCAGCACCAATTTGCATATTTGGTAAGGTTTAACGGGAGCAACTGAGATATGGTTGCCAGCTTCGCATAAAAAAATGTTGCCATTTAAGGATTACATTGAAGTCAGAGAAAAACAATTAATCCCTGTAAAGGACATACGGGGTGCAGCAGGAACAATAAACATGTCAAAGAAAATTTGATCTCACCAAATGTGCACATATAAGTGATTAACAAATGCTATGAACTCTTCTGAATATGCATCAGCCATTTAGGATTATTGTATAGTCAAAGAAGAGCAATTAGCTACTAGCAAGGACATGAAACCATACAGGGCAGCAACTACATATCCTAACAAAATATAAAGAATATATCACAAACAGAATGCATAGACACATATAATCTACAATTCATGGCACGTGAGACATTCAAACATTAGACAAAAAGGGGGTATTAAGAAATCTATGATGTGTCCTGGATGAATTGGAGATGTATCTGAGACTAGTAAGTCAAGGGAATAAATGATATTTTCCCTATTTCATTTAATTTGTAAATGCATCTGTATCAAACTATCAATTTTCCATATTATTAACAAAAAATTCCCTGTTCCAAGGAATTTGTGATGTGTGTTGCTTGACGATATTTTATAATATCAGACTTATTCAGTTTCTTTAACCATTATAATAAACTTGTTAAAATTCGTGTTACCATTGCATGTAAAACATAAACTAACATATGCAAATACTTTTTTCTCATTGTTATATCTACCAATATAAGATCAAAATTGACCTCCCTGTTCCACCCCCACCTACCCATCCACAAGAAACCCAAATCTCCCACACACAACCGAACTACTCTATGTTGATGTACAATAGATAAGTCAACATTTCTCACTGGGAATTGGACCAACACCAGCTTTTCAAATGAAATAGTAAGAGCCTCATTATGACGCTCTCCAAAGTAATAATTACAATCACTATGAGCAATTTTAGGAGTTGCCTTTCCAAATATATTTCTGTTCAACCTTCTTGCCTCTTCTGTGCAGGAAATTTTATGATAATTAATAGTTAATTATGGGTTAATAACTTTTAATGAACTAAAAGTACAATATTTCCGATCCGACCCTTATTTTCTTCTCTCTCTTATGTAGTGTCCACATGGTCAGTTAAAGCAAAACAAACTGCAACTACAACTGTGTAACAATTGCAATATTTTGCCCGAAACAGACCCTCGTCTCCTTTATCTTCAAGCAATGTCATGTATACATTTAAGGTTCTTGACTCTGTTTTACAACCTGGGAAAAAACAGGCCAACCTTGTCTTATTTCTTAACCAGGCTAAGATTGGTCCTAGGTAGGGGGTGGACCAATTATAGCCTGGTTAAGAGGCTGAAAATGAACTAACAGAAGTGGGGCCAGAATTGCCCCGCTTTTACCAAATACAAAAAGGCACTAAAACTGGAGCAGGTTTGAACATGGTCCGGTTTTAGTGGTTTGCCAAATAGGGGTGAGTTTGGCAACCTCAAAATAAAATTGGGCTAGACTAGTTTTATCTTAACTAGGCCAAAGTTAAACCATAGGGTTGGTTAACAAAAGAACTAGTTTAGGGGCTAAATTTTGAACTAGAAAGAACTAGTTCAATTTGGGTCCAACTTTTGCTAAACTAAAATCAAGATATTGGACCAAAGTTGAACCACCTAAAACAAATTTTGTTAATTGCCAAACACACCCTTAGCTTTAGCCAAAAAATGTATTGAGGAGCAAATGTAACAAGTACCCAAACAGCAAATCACCTTATTAAGTTGCTGTCAGGATACATGTGAAGGACTTTCTTCAGGTAGTCTACTCCCCTGTGAATTTCAAGGTTTTGTTCTGATCCATGACCCATCTGCTAATTCAAATTGGTAAAAAAAATTCCAGCCAATTCAAATGTTAGGAATTGTGTAAAACCCAAAACGTCACCATGTAAAATTTACTGTATATAAATCTAAAGAACTTACAATTTTACTCATACAAATTATGGAATGTAATTCAGCGACAGACTCGTGAGAAGCAAAAGTTTGAAGACTACTTTGGAGAAGCATTTCAAGCCGACTGCTTTGATCCAAAGCATTGATCGTGGCAACTATGAAACTCATTTTTGTGCTATGTAAAAATTCTGTCGGAATCTTTTGAAGAAATGTTGCTGAAGGATTCAGTCCTGAAATACAGTATACTAATGAGCATACCAATCCTAGAGCAGCAACTGCACATCTCGGCTTCATGGTGGACACAATCTTGGCCATTTTTTTTGCCAAAGTGAAAGCCAAGTCTCTATTTCCAAGTTTCCACAATGCAACAGCATATATTTGCAAGGCACTGCTATCAAGCAGATCTTCAAAAATTGAAACAATAATTTGTTAGTAAAACAATCACCAAATTTTTAAACTTTTATCAACCAGACAGTACATACAACCAACATTTTGTCTCTATAGAGGCCAAAGCACGTGCACATATAAACAAGTTGAAGAGCATGCATGGAGACGGGTCCTGCAACATATATTATTGTGGATCCATTTCTCTCATGGTTTTTATTGTTAGCAACAGCCATGGTGCACCAAATATTAACGTTGGGTATCAATGGCATATTCCATAATTTTTAGCCTAAAGCGATTTGTCTCTAATCCTTGTTTCAAGGTTAAAGTAGTTGAGAGTTGTTCCATGATTAAAATTGTAAATAACTTGAACTCTAAAAGAGCAACTAATCTTATTTTAGAGCAACAAGGGATTAGGATTCTTAAAAGCTGTCCTAATTATTTCTCAACAGAACTTTTTAAGGAAAAATAATCATATATTATTTTTATCTCTTTTTAGTACTTTTCCTTCTACTTTTTCAAAGTTTTTTTTTTCTAATTTACCTTCGATGTCATTAATTACTTCAAAAAATCAATCTCTTCCTTCCTAATTTTGATAAACATGAAGAGGAAATATTAAAGGTATCACTGTTTTTCTGTTTAAAAATTTTTATTTAAAGATACGATTATCTTCAAGATATCATTACTGTGAATTGTATATTCATCATACTAAGTAAGGAGGAGGCAAAGAAGAGAGAGAACTGGGAGAAAGACAGGTAAGCACCTTAGGAGAAAAAAAATAGGAGAATCGGTTGAGAGAAAAAAAAATTAATGGACTCAAATACCCTCCCATCTGTATAGCCCACCTTTCTATTTTATACGAAATCAAAAGTTATCAAAAGTCTTTATATCTATCTTCAATAGCTATTACCCATAATAGATTTCATACATTAGGAGAAGGTTAAAGATTTGTTTAAGCTGAAGCTCCACCTCTTGTCTAATACATATGCATGACGGAAAATAGAAACAAGTTCACAAACAAGTGAATCCATTTCCTTTTAGCTGTGTCTCAGAGATAAATGTGATTCGTTATGGCAAATGATGACATCTTACATTTTAAGTAGGAAAAGGCGTGGAATGGTGGCAGCGGTGGTGAGTCTATATGTATATTGCTCGCAAAGTAGGACATACCACAACATGAAACGAGATCACAGAAATTTTATAAGTAAATAGGTCCTACCATCTTTCTCCAAATGCTCACACTCACGTGCAGCGTCCATTGCATAATCTGCCTGCAAGGAGGAAGAATTGTTAAATGATCTTTACATATGAACTAAAAATGCTGATATACTTTTAATTTATCCAGTGCTGGACAGTTCTATTTTATTCCAAGGCATGAGTGCTTGAAAGCTGAGTCTGAGATTATATGGATAAAGAGAACTGAAGGTTTCACAAAGGAGGACATATATCAACTAAAGTATGCAATGCATAGTTAGTTTACCTGGCAAAGTGCTCTGGCAAGATTGATTGAAACATCTGCTTGATGACACCTGAGAACGTCCTTGGAGTAGCAACCAATTTTTAAAGCACATTGTGCCAGCCGATACGCAGCTATTGCAGACTGATAATCTGAACGTGCCTCACATACCAGACCATTTAGATTATGCGACTCTGGACAACAAGGTGCACGCTGAACAGCCTGTCTTATGGCTCCAAATACCTAGGTAATGGATCAAATTTGTACAAAGATATGTTTAACAACCATAGTTTCAAGATAATATAAGGAAACCTACCAGCAAAGGTTTCGTGTTTGCACACATGCACAACTGTATACCTGTGGAGATAGTAGGTGACCAGAAAGAACAGCCAGCTTTCCGAGGCCCATTTGGAATTCAGCCACCTGCATGCAACCAAATAGTAAGGAAAAAGGATGGAGAGAAAAAGGAAAACACAATAAAGTCCCACATAAACAATGTGCAACTTGGGTACACGACATTCCCTTAGAAGTAAACAAGAAGTTTTGCATTTGATTCCACATTCTCTGCTCTGGATCAGAGGGAAAATAAGATCATGATAGTGGATATGCTTCATCTAAAATAATAGAGTTGCTTTGCATGAAAAACGTTGCTCAAGTACAACATTACCTGTGTCCACTGTAAGCAGTTGAAACCTCAATGGAAAACCAACAGTCCTATTGCACACATTATTTTATATCACGCTATAAATATGTAACACTCCATGATAGACTCACATGGGATATTAGTTAGAAGGATATTGGATATAACAAATAACAATTGTTATGAACCATAGACAGAATTTTTGAGAGAAGAATCGTGAATAACTTTCATGGTTATCCGTACTTGTGAGATGTGAGAGCAACTCCAAGAACGTAACCTCCTGGGAAATTTCCGCAGGAAAGGAAAGTGTGCATGGGCGAGCATGGTGTTAGATATGATATCAGAGATTAGCACTAGTCAGAAACATATGAAACCAAATCTCACATAGGCCCATTGTTTTAAATACCCCCGATATAGCCAATATATCTGCTGAAATACCTTTTATAAGGCTTGCCGAAAAACAATATGGTCTCAATATCCTTTATCGCTTTTTGACAATTTTTCGATGATATATCCCAGACATGACCAATATATTAGGCGATATGTCCTGTCCTGTTTATGTGGCTTGTTGCAAAATGATATAGTTCTACAAAAAAATTTGATGTCTTTTAGCAAAAATTTCAGCCTATGAAGTCTCTTAGGAAATCGTCATAGGCTCTTTTCCCTGAATAAGTTTTTACAGCTGGTTAATGATGCTAAACACATTATTTTCATTTTTTTTAATGCTTAGATTTCATTTAGTATGCTTAGATTACATTTTAGAACATTATATTATATATGTACATTATCCGATACGACACTCTGATATTTATCACATATCCCGATATTTCCCCGATATCTGACATGAATTTTGGCCATTCGACATTTCCTAGATATCCAATATTTAAAACCTTGATGGGGCAAAGTATCACATAACACAAAGGTGTGATGGAGATCACCACTTCAGTTTGTAGAGCCTAGCTCTAGATTTCAATTGGTACACTTCCAAAATCCCATCAGTCAGTAGCAAGATGCCGTATCCTATAATCGAGACCTCAAGTGAACAAGTATCACATGAGATATGCAGTAGGAAAATCTGTAGAATATGATAATTCATTAATTCCCATGATTTTAAGAACAAATTTGGCTCGCATTCAAGGAAGGAATCATGGATAACTTTCAAGGTTAAGTGTGTTTTTTGGAGCAGTTTCAAGATAAGGCGAGTAAGTTATCACCTGTAACATATGCGCATGGTACCACTGTAGTCCAAACTGTTCAAAACTAAATGTCTTATGGAACTAATTGTTACCTGGAGAAAAGTGCCAAAAAATATATGGATGTGGCAGGAGATGATTCTTAACTCAGTAGGATCACCTTTTGAATTGTAGAAGTCACCCCTAGAATCCCATGTGACTTGGCACAACGCTAGTATGGCAAGGACGCAATGCCATGATTGGGACTGTAAATCATTGCGAGTCAACTAAACTGAATAGTTCCACATGGGCTATATGTTAGAAGGTCTCTAATATATCTCTAATATATAAGATTCCTATAACTCAAAAATTATTGTAACTATAATCCCAAGGGAGAAATTTTGGAAATCTTCCATGGTTATGCTTATGCATGCACTTGCAGGAGTAATTTCAGGCGGGTGACCTACTTGGAAGTTCTCTCTTGGGGGTGTTACACGAGAGCTAATGCTATAACCATGTCTTCACATAAAGACTGAACACATCATGCGGCAGATAGAATTTAGTAAGAAAATATCAATGTCTTTAGGTGAAAAAAAAATGCTCATCCCATAAAATGAAATAATAGCAAAGTGAGAGAGCATTTAGAATAACCAAGTTCCTTGAAAGAGATACGTGATGCCGCGTACATATATGTTATATGAGTTAGCATGTTGAATAGACTCGCACTCACAACTATCTGAGGTTCAGCGTTTTTTCTCATTTTTTAACAAGTGTGTGACCTGGTCTTGAGCTTGGAACCTCCTATGATCAAGGTTTTAAATATCGGATATCGGGAAAATATCGGATGACCAAAATTCATATCGGATTGTGGATATCGGGGAAATATCGGGGATATGTGGTAAATATCGGAATGTCATAATGAATGTTTGCATACATAGTATAATGCATTAAAATGTAATCTCAACATATGTAATGAAATTTAAGCATACAAAATATGAATAATATATGTTTAGGATCACTAATCAACCTTCTAAAACAAACAAAAGTGCAAAGCAACGTTGCAACATTCGATCTGCTTTTTTAGGGAAAAATATCATTTGATATAATGGGGAAATCTTGATATCTCGCCCAGAAATTCCAAATACGGTATATTATTTTGCAACAAGGTATATACAAAGATATATTGGTCCACATATCGGCTAATATATCGTCCATATCGGGGATTTATTGCTCAAAACAGCCAAAAAGCGGTAAAGGATATTTAAAGACCATATCGGTTGCGGCAAGCCCTGTAAAAGGATATATCGGGGGATATATCGGGCCATGTCGGGGATATTTAAAACAATGCCTATGATCTATCACTATGTCAGGACAAAGAGGCTCTTCCATGTTCTGCTTAAATCTGAAGGAAGTAAAAGGAAAAATATGTAGCAAATGGTTTTCAAACTAGCAAAAGAATGCTCGAAATTTACCCTCCTACCCCCCCCCACCCCAAAAAAAAAATAAATAAATAAATAAATAAATAAACACACCCTCAAACACCCCAATATCCCCTCCCAAAAAAAGAATTTGGCCCTTGACACCACCACCTCTAACATCCTCACCCTTCATGCTCCTTTTGTGTTCTTAACAATGTCAAAGAGATACACAGCAATAGTACCACCTAGGAAGAAGTCAGGAATAACATTTATGTACGAATAGAAAGGGTTTAGAAACTATTGCACTATTTATACATCTTCCTCAAACATACCCTAAGTTTATCTCCCTCAGTCTTACGAACTTGCATTTGACGTAGGCGTTTATTCATGATAGTTTTTAGAAAGGTGAATGACCATCCTAGTTAAGCAACAGACGAAGACCAATGTAAATATGAAGATAGTAATATTCATTGCTTTCCATATTGAATATTATAAAGGGGAAAAGGAACAGAAGTATGTAAGGAAGTGTTTCGCTTGCGCATATTTATGTATATATGTATGTGTGTGTATGTATGTATATGTACATATACGTATATACATATATACACGTATATGTATATGTATATAAGTAGATGTATATATATATATATATATAATATATATATACACGTATATATATATATATATATATATATATATATATATATATATATATATATATATATATGTATATACGTATATGTATATATATATGTATATACGTATATGTATATATGTGTGTGTGTGTGTGTGTCATTTTGCTAATATAACATAGAGAAAGAATAAAATAAGAACAATCACAAGTTCGTACTTACAGGAAGTATCTGTGCGGCCCTCAGGCAGCTTTCATAGGCCTCACTTGTTGACAATGTCCTTAAAGAATAAATTATAAATATATAGTTAAAGATTGATAATGTGTACTCTGAAACAAACAATCATCTCTGGAATGGCAATAACAAAAATACAAATTTACCCTTCATGAAAATCTGCTGACATTCCGGCCCAAGGTAATGCTAGTGAGGGATCTATGCTTCTAGCACGATCAAATGCTTGCCCAGCCAACTGCCTTTCACCTAAATTTCTGTACATCTGCAAAATAAACACATCAGAAATATTGCGTGCAGATCAAACAAGCAACCATCATTACCTTGCCAAGATATGCCCATGCGATAGATAGAGATGCATCCAGCTGCAAGCCCCTAATCAAAGCATGTTGTTTCAATGCAGGATCTTTGGACAAGCAACTCAATATGACCCATGACTCACAGTTCACTCCTTCAAGCAGTAAGCTTCCCATGGACATCCTCTCTGGTATCTGCCTGATGAATGAATAGAAAGGAAAACAGGATCAGCTTCAGTTGAAATATATGAGATGGTTCTATTGATAGCTAGTTTGTAAATGGATCCTACCAAACATCAGTTTCTGGCGTCTCTTTCTCCTCTGAAGAATCTATAAGATCCAAGGTGATAGCAACATCGGTATAGATGTTTGCATGCCACGGTGCCAAGTGTAAAGCTCGCTGATATGAGCGCTTAGCATCATTTGCAGCGAAAAGGCATGTCTTCTTCCAGTTATTGATGGAAATCTTGAAACTACCCTCATTAATTTCATCACAGGTCCTTTTATCATCCCATGGAAAGCATTTTGCATATGCACTCTGATGTTGATAGGAAAATAAAAATGCTTTAAGTACTGCTGTGAAGCACTGGTAAACGTGGCATATAAAAAATATCACCAAAATTGTGGCATATAGATTATTCAATTTAAGTATTGGGCATCCTGAACACAGTAATTGTGGCATATAAAAAATATCACCAAAGCATTATCCCACCAACATAACATATATCTAGAACAAATGATAGTATAGGAGGCTCCATGAAGCACTGGTAAACGTGTAAGTAATCTCGATTATATTTGACAGATGACCAATTTCCTGCACAAACCAAAGGCATGACTCATGGGAAGGGTTTGCCACTAAGCAAAGACACCAAGTCTGTGAGCAGGGAGGCCTACCTCATCCAATTGCCTATCAATCAAATAGTTTTAACCCATGGAACAAAGCAATAGACTTCCAACAATTAAATATATGAGATAGGTGAGGTTGTTAACAGTAGTCGTAGCTATAGATTTATTTGCTCATATAAGCACAGATGCTTAGTTGGACAAAAAAACTCTCATTTATGAAACATACGTAAACCCAAAATCGTAACATAAGTGGCTTTCAAACTGGGTATGAATAGAAAAAATACTGAAATCAATGGAACAGGCTTGTTCAATCATTTTAAGCTCAGATCTACCGAATCCACACTGTATATTACTTCAAACTGGTTGAGGCATTATCTACAAAATAAAAATTCGGATTGAGCTTTGACCTGAAGTGGACAGGTCTGTGATCAAAAGTTTCAAAGTGAAGCCATATCTCAACAGTAAGCTAACATGAGGATAAAACCATGCGCGTACTCCATGCCCATCAACCCGCACACACGTGGACACACATGCGCACACGCAGACAAGTACGAAACACAAGCACACATACATATGCATAGACATATCTGTGAACCACCATCAATCACTACAAATTGAGCTTAAATTGACCTGCTAAACCATTTCCTTCAGAAAAATAAAAATTATGATGCTGTCTTTTTTGCGTAATTGTTTTTAGTCAGGGTGTAATTCAGATAGCAAGTAGCTTGGCATTCTTGAATCTTAACCAACAAAACAATGCAGATGTTAACATGATTTCCATGGTCCATCACATGTCAATAGAATGACAATGCTATTAGGTCTCATGTTTATGAACCTATTGTTAATCTAGTTTTGATGAGTAACAAACAATTCCTAACATCATTTGTCGAGTGTTTGCATTTGTTTTGATAGGTAATCTACACAAATATCCTCTGTCAGAGGTTGGTTGGACTTGCACCTACACGATCACATCCTTTTGGAGGTTGGAGAAAATAGTAATAAAGCTATGTGTTTAAGTCAACACATCATCAAGCTTTATTCCCGCTACCAAGATCGAGCTTCAACGAGAGATCATTAGTTTGGGTATATTTTTAGTTTAGGTGTTTACTTTATGTGCCATGCTTAAAGCTCAAATATATTCACATACATGTTGTTTCATTATATGGCTTTCATTGGTTGCTTCACTTTGCAAAAAGATATGTTTAGCCATACAAATATTTTAAAAGATGAGTTTTAGCCATATAAATATGAAACAAATACATATATTCCTATTCTTGCACATATATTTCATATTTATCGCATTATACATCATTTTGAGAAAATAACGTTTATCGTTTTGAGAAAATAACGTGTTTGTGGATTATTGACTTAGTGATACTATTTTACATCTTTTCATAAGTCTATAAATCCATTCAAAATAATTTTCAAGCTTGTTTGCAAGAATTTCATCAAAAACCAAATGTTTGACGATTTCGTATTATTGAATAGTTTACAAAATAAATGAGCTTTCACAAAGGGAAATGTAATTTGAGAAATTCTTTTTCTAACATGTTCTATTACATGTCTATAAACATTTCCCAAAGTTTTATCATTTTTGGAGTTGACTTACTATGTTAAATTGATTTTATAAAATCAAGTGTTCAGCAATTTTCAGAATCTGTAATATCTGTTTTCAAACAGTTATTTCTCACAAATCTGAAGTGATATTTTAAAAATTCTTTTTCTAACATGTTTATCTACATGTGTAGAAACTTTCCTCAAAAATTTACGATTTTTGAAGCTGGTTTTTTATTTTTAATTGATTTTAGAAAGTCATCTATGCAAAATTTAAGAATCTGCCAACGCAGCCCAACGATCACCTTATCGGTCGACCGATGACGTCATCTGATTTTCCAGCCAACGGATAGTTTTTGGTTGCTGTGGTTTTGGGGTTATATATACCCTTCTTGCCTTGGCTCTTTTTAAGGTTTTTTAGAAGGTTTTTACAAGTGTTTTTGGCAGTTTATTTCCAAGTTTAAAAGATCAAAAGTTTGGTTTGTTTATGTGAAATAGTTTTCACAAAGAGAAGAAGCTTTCAATTTCGGCTTTGAGGAGTTCAACCTTAAATCTCATCTACATCTCTTTGTGCCATTTTAGAGAAGTTTTTCTAACTCTTTAATCTAGTTTATTCTCATTTTGATTATCATATATATATTTGCTAGATTAAAGTTCAGTTTAATTTTTTATATTCTCATTATTTTTACACACACCCCTTGAGCTTTAGTATTTCACATATTGTATACATTTGGGTTGTGGGGTTGTATCCTTGAGTGAGCTTAAACTTCGTTATCATTCTTGTTAGAGAACAAACCATTACATTTGAGCCTTATTGTTAAGAAAATATATTATAATACACAAGGACACTTAGAGAAGTAGTTGGTGAAAGACGATGTCAATTCCAAGAGGAGTGACGTCGGTTGTAAATCCTAAGGAGATGTAGTAATTCCGAACACTAGAGGAATGTGACACAGGCTAGGCCAACACCTAGAGGAGTGTATTGTGTATTATCAATTGTGTGAGTTGTAAACGTTTATCGGTGAGCATTAAAAACTGATTGTGTAGTTGTTCTTGACATAGTGGAGATTCTCCTCGAGGATGAGGAGCGGAGACGTAGGTCACGGGTCGACCGAACTCCGTGATTATTTGTCTTGTGTTTGCGATTATCATTTGTGCACTATCTCTCTTTTAAACAAGTGGATTATGAGTATTTTGCTTTTTCATGCATGTGAATTATAAATTGTATATTCATTTGATATCATGCATGTTTTATATACTATTTGTGCAGATTGTTTGTCATCATCAAAAAAGGAGAGATTGTTAAGTCTCCTGTTTATGAGCCTATTGTCTAATCTAGTTTTGATGATTAACAAACAATTCCTAACATCGTGTGTCGAGTGTTTATATTTGTTTTGTTAGGTAATCTACACAAATATCCTCTGTCGGAGGTTGGTTGGACTTGCGCCTACACGATCATATCCTTTTGGAGGTTGGAGGATATAGTAATGAAGCTATGCGTTTAAATCAACACATCATCAAGTTTTATTCCTGCTACCAAGATCGAGCTTCAACGAGAGATCATTTAGCTTGGGTATGTTTTTAGTTTAGGTGTTTACTTTATGTGTCATGCTTAAAGCTCAAATATATACACATACACGTTGTTTCGTTATATGACTTTCATTTGTTGTTTTACTTTGCAAAAAGATATATTTAGCTATACAAATATTTTAAAAGATGAGTTTTAGCCATATAAATATGAAACAAATACATATATTCGTACTCTTGCACATATATTTCATATAAACATATTTATCGCATTATACATCATTTTGAGAAAATAACGTGTTTATCGTTTTGAGAAAATAACGTGTTTGTGGATTATTGACTTAGTGATACTCTTTTACATCTTTTAATAAGTCTATAAATCCATTCAAAAGAATTTTCAAGCTTGTTTGAAAGAATTTCATCAAAAACCAAGTGTTTGACGATTTCGTATTATTGAATATTTTACAAAATAAATGAGCTTTCACAAACGGAAAATGCAATTTGAAAAATTCTTTTTCTAACATGTTCTATTACATTTTTATAAACATTTCCCAAAATTTTATCATTTTAGAGTTGATTTACTATGTTAAATTGATTTTACAAAATCAAGTGGTCAGCAATTTTCAGAATCTGCAATATCTCTCACAAATCCGAAGTGATTTCAAAAAAAAAATTCTAACATATTTATCTACATGTGTAGAAACTTTCCTCAAAATTTTTACGATTTTTGGAGCTTTTTTTTATTTTTAATTGATTTTATAAAGTCAGCTACGTAAAATTTCAAAATCTGCCAACTCAGCCCAACGGTCACCTTATCGGTAGACCGATGACATCATCAGTCAACTGATCAGGATTTTCCAGTCAACAGCTAGTTTTTGGCTACTGTGGTTTTGGGGCTATATATACCCTTCTTACCTTGGTTCTTTTTAAGGTTTTTTAGAAGGTTTTTACAAGTGTTTTGGGCAGTTTATTTTCAAGTTTAAAAGATCAAAAGTTTGGTTTGTTTATGTGAAAAAGTTTTCACAAAGAGAAGAGGCTTTCAATTTCGGTTTTGAGGAGTTCAACCTTAATTCTCATCTACATCTCTTTGTGTCATTTTAGAGAAGTTTTTCTAACTCTTTAATCTAGTTTATTCTCATTTTGATTATCATATATATATTTGCTAGATTAAGTTGAGTTTAATTTTTGATATTCTCATTATTTACACACACCCCTTGAGCTTTAATATTTCACATATTGTATACATTTGGGTTGTGGGTTGTATCCTTGAGTGAGCTTAAACTTCGTTCTCATTCTTGTTAGAGAACAAATCATTGTATTTGAGCCTTATTGTTGAGAAAACACATTGTAATACACAATGACACTTAGAAAAGTGATTGGTGAGAAACGGCGTCAATTCCAAGAGGAGTGGAGTCGGTTGTAAATCCTAGGGAGAGGTAGTAATTCCGAACACTTGAAGAAGGTGACACAGACTAGGCCAACACTTAGAGGAGTGTAATGTGTATTGACAATTGTGTGAGTTATAAACGTTTATCGGTGAGCGTTGAAAACCGATTGTGTAGTTGTTTTTGAGATAGGGGAGATTCTCCTCGAGGGTGAGGAGCGGAGACATAGGTCGTAGGTCAACCGAACTTCATGATCATTTGTCTTGTGTTTGCAATTGTTATTTGTGCACTATCTCTCTTGTTCTTGTGGTTCATGTTTATTTCGTCCATTGTCTAATTGTATATCCTTGCATATTTCATTGTATATTACATCATTAGGATATATTAGTTTATAAGTTTTAAATTTGGTATTATTATCGGATTAGATTAGCAATTACTCTATTCATCCCCCCATCTAGGGTACTTTCAAATGCCATCTAAACTTCTAATTTTAATGTCACGCATTTGATATGGTCAATCAAATAATCTATTTATGTTATTGTTTATCAGCAATAACTTTAGCTTCAATATATCTGTTCAACAAATTGATCATACTCAGAGTCAGAGACTCACAATAAATTACTAAAATTTACTCACACATGATTTCAAAAAAGTTCTTATGGAGTTCAGTATCCTAACTAGAAATCAAGCTTGATTTAATAAATTATCAAGCTGTCCACAAATACTTAGAGACAACAGCTTCGAGTATATAGTAATATAGTTACAAAAATTAAGTTAGTACCATCAGATGCAAATTGACATCCCAATGACTGCACATGAAACATTCAGCTACATTCTTTGCTCTCCTTTCACTGATAGGCGATAGAATATAGTAGTACTAAAGAACATTGCATGACATCTAAAGGAAGCCAATACTAATCAAAAGTGTCAAATTTATAAAATTCCAAGTGAAAATGAAGTACCAGTATATCCAAAAGTGATTAGTTCGTACAGGAAAGATAGTTCATCCTAGTATAAAACGGTGCAACTTAGGCTTGCAAAATCTAGATGCTCAGTGTAGAGAAATCAAAAACAAGATCAACATAAACAATAAAATAAAATGTGAGAACCATTTTCTATAACAAAAGCCTACTTTACCATAAGTCGCATGAGAACTGCAACAGCACAAGTGCAGTCACATTTGAGCGTCAATGAATTATAAAAAAGTAAGAATTGTCTGAACATGGAATTGGAACAATGATAAGCATCATTACCCGCATGTACCTGGATGTCCCCATGCAACTTCCAAGCAGAATAAACATTTCCACATAGATGTGTTCCAGCTTTCACAACCTCTGATGCTTCCTACATTACAAAAAAACATGCAATGCATAAAGTGTCAATACATTACAGTCAGAACATGATTCGGGTTTTTTAAGCAAAAATTTAATGGCTCACCTCCAAGAGAGAAGCTCCCCAACCAAATGCTCCAGAACTTGCACATTCTTTTGACAATCCAAGAAGACCTGATGCAAGTCCAAAGTGTGCAGATGCATTCTGCGGGGCTATTTTCAAAGCACTACGAAACTGCTCGATTCCCTGTGATTAATTATTAGAGTAGAACAAGTTTAAATTGTCACTTATAAGATACAGCTGTGTTTCTACTTTCTTAACAGTAATTGTCAAAGGCTCATAAAACTTGAAGACAGTTACGATAAAATTGCATCTTCTTTAAGTCATGATCATGTGAGCACAAGTATACATCAGATGGTAAGAAGTAAGAACTATATAATTGTAGAAATTTCTTTCTGAGTGGCAGGGGCAGAACCACATCCACACAGAACATCTTTCCAGAGCCTTTTATTGGCAAAGGATTTGCGGGGAAAAAATCTTATGTGCTAACAGAAATTAGAATTGCTCAAATTGCCTGATTAGCATATAAAAGACTGTGACCATGAGCTAAGAAAGACGTGTTTCTTCATGTGCACTTCTATTATAGATGAGCCACAATAATTTTATATATAGATAGGCCTCTTTCAAACACAATTTACAATAGTTTTCTTGCCCTCTTGCAAGAACAATTCTTTGAAACTGTTTAGCATCATCAAATGCAATATACAATTCAAAGTTCAAGAAACCAAATAGAAACAACAGTGGTCTTACTTTCCGGAAAGATCCTAGCATTAGAAGAATGTTCCCACTTTCAATCAGTGAAAATACTTTTGAGTCCTCCAATTCAATCGCCCGACCATATGACTGTCATAAGGAGAAGGAAATATCAAGTCACAAAAAAAACCACCAGAATGTATTAATTTCTTATGTAGCCAAGATGAAATATTACTCGTTTTCCGATTTTCAAGATGTCATTATCAAACTCCAAAAGCAATTATAGAAGCATGGCATTTCTTTATTATAGCTTTTCTATCTTATAGAAAGCATGATAGGAAAGGTATCCTGGTGTCCTATAACTTAAGGGCAGGCCTCACTATCTGATTCCAGGTCTTCTTCTAGCTAGCTTTTGCGCAAACAGTACAATCTTCTGCAAGAGAATATTTTGTCACTCTTCCATCAAAGAATGTATTTGAATCTTTGGTATTAGCTTTGAAAATCAGAACTCTTTGTAAGAGAAGATACAATGTTTCTCAAAAAAATTAGTTTTACTGCTATGAAGAAGTAAATGGCAGGTAAACCACAGAAAGACAGCATTAACGCCCTTATTTCACTACTGCGATAAATAGTCAGGCTAAGAAATCAAGATAATAACACAAGAATAAGACCAAACAAGAATACTGTTAATACCAAAAAAGATACAGCAGCTAGGACAGAAAGATACCTTTATCGCTGCTGTAAACATGCCCAGACGTTGATATGACAGACCTAGAGCCTTAGCAATTACAAACAGTAACAACAAATCAAGCACAAGCACCATACGCACCATTATAAAAAGATCGAGCTCTTTATACCTCCCACAGGTCAGCACATGCAGGATAGCCTCGTATAGCATGCTGAAGCTTGTACTGCCTCCAACCATTTCTTTGATGTACCTGAAAATTTTATAGCGCTACATCACATAAACCCATAAAAGTTAACCTAAAAAACTAAATCTGACTGTTGCTTTATTGTGTTTGACAATAGGACAAGGGAACAACCCCCCCCCCCACCCCCCACCCCAAAAAAACAAAGAAAATGAAAAATGATTCATTATATCTCTAAATTACCCAAATTATCCAAGTTTGTAAGCAAAAGAAGTGTATTCGGGCCTCTCGTGCTTCATACAAACTTCTACATTTTCTGAATCAAAGATGAAACAAAGCTATTTCAACGGGTTTTGTTTATTCGCCTCCCAAATCTTTCATATTTTGAAATTAGTCCCCCAAATAATCCTATTTTGAAATTAGTCCCCAAATCTTTAAGTGTTTTGAGTTAGCCCCCTAAAGTCTTCATATTCTAAAACGAGTTCCCCAAATCTTAGAGGTATTTTTGAATTAGTCCCTCTAGTTAGCACCAAGCTGAAAGGTTTGGGGGACTAATTTCAAAACACTTTAACATGTTTTGGGAACTAATTTCAAAATATGAAGATTTGGGGAACGAATTTCAAAACACAAAAGATTTTGGGTACTAATTTCAAAAAATAAAGACTTGGGGAGTCAAATTTCGAAGTACAAAAAATTTTGGGGACTGATATTGGAAAAACCCTATTTCCATAAATCTACTATGTGATTTGTTAAATAGTTGACATGTGCAACCAAATTACTTTGGCTTTTTAGATGCAAGATCAGAAGAGAGAAATGTCGATACATTGATACAGATTTGGAGGTTTAATAGTCACCTCTTAAATTAAATGCTTTATCTTTCTATAATAAACTCATCTCATATGTAAGATAACCCCTTCAAAAGTTAAACCTCATTAAGTCATGATAACTTTCTTAAAAGTTAAAACTCCTAATTGGTTTAGATTGTGCAACTCATATTTAAGATATCCCTTTCAAAGGTAAAACTAATATTTATTTAAGATTACCCATTCAAAGTTAACCTCTGTGCTGGGTGTGGGTGTGTAACGTGTGTTGAGTGTAGATGTGTGTGCATGTGTCCGCACACGTGCGTCTGTGTGAAAGTGTGTTTGTTCACGCGAGTGTGCATCTCTCTGCTCTCAATATGCATGCAAGATGAATCTAGTGGGAAGGGGAGAGAAGATAACAAAATATATAGGACAGCAAAGAAAATATGAAAAGATGATGTTTTTTCCTTATAATACTGATACATTTCTTTGCCAAAGTTTCCTTATATATATTATATTATACATTATACATTATACATTATTATACACCCTTTAAAAGCATGAGTTCGAGAAAAGCTTTCTATGGTCAATATTACCCTTCACTATTTTAAATATATCATTTAAATCTTAATCTATCATAATCATAATTATATCCTATCCCAATTCCACGTAAACTATCTATAGCTCAACAATTTAAAAAATAATATTAATAAAATATATAAAACAGCTTTACGATATTAGTTTGCTAAGGTAAAGAAATTATACATAGCTAACATACTATAATATATAAAGCATTGTAAAAAACACTAAAAAGTTTTAACGTTATGCAAAATATCCTCAAAAGTTTAAAATTATAGAAAACATCTTGATGTTTCAAAACTTAAAACAACAAACATGAAATTAAGAAACTACCAGCAGCCTACGAAGAATTTAAAATTTACAGTTAACACCCTCAATGTCTCAAAAATTATGAAAACACTCTCAACAGTTCATATTACAAACAAGCACCCTCAAATTCTAAAATCTCAAAACTTGCAAACAACATAGAAATTCAAGGGATTACCATGATAAACCTGAAAATTTCTGACATTTCAAAACTTAAAACAACAAATATGATCAAGAAATTAACAGCCTCTGAAAATTTTAAAATTGACATTTAACATCCTCAATGTCTCAAAAATTATAGAAACACCTTCAAAAGTTTAAATTACAAAAAGACGCCATAAAATTCTAAAATTTTAAAATTTGTAAATAACATAAATGAATTCAAGGGATCACTATCAGGCACGTAAAAATTTAAAATTTACCAAAATTAACCTCAAAGTTACAAAAAAATACAAAAAAACTCCTTTGAAAATCACAAAAAACTCTAAAATTTTAAATTTTATAACCAGTACACAACAAATCTGGAAACTATTAGCTATTGCTGAAATCTGAATTTTTTAAAAAAATAATCCAAAGTTTTAATAATTGTAAAAAACACTCTCAAAATTTCAGAGTTGTAAAAAATATCCTAACATTTAAAAATTACCACCAACACATGAAGCATAGAAGTCACAACTACCAAACTTAAAAGTAAACTTTTTTTAAAAATACTCCTAAAGTTTTAAAAATTACAAATCACACCCTCAAAAGTTCAAAACCACAAAAAAAGGCTGAAATTTCAAAGATTGGCAAAGAAAAACATAATTGTTTGATATTCTTTCATTAATATATATATATATATATATATATATTCCAATTTAGGATTTACTATCCCTTTTCAATATCTGAAAATAGTCTAAATAGATGCTGGTAAAAAAGCAATAAGAATTGATTAAAAGCATCCGGTTACGGAATAAACATTTGAAAAATATGTGATAGCTTAAAAATTATCGTCACTATATAAATCAAAGTAATTGCATATAATTTTACTAAGAAGTTGAAGAAGCAAAAATACATAAGTAGCGTTAATTGATAGAAGATTAAGTCTATAAAACTGATAAAATATTATAATATAATAGCTTGGTATTAATTGATTACAATCTAGAAACAGTAATCTCTGATGTTAATAATATTTATAGTATAAGAGAATATAAGGAATTGCGTATGGAGAAACTATCAGAATGTTTAGAGATATCTTTTAAAAGAATTAAACTATTTCCATTTCAAATGAGAAAGTGAAGGAAATAAATATAAAATTCAAAAAACATCCATGAATCGCTTGAATTGATATTAACATAAGACTTACTTATCAAAGCAGCACCAACTAAATTTCATTGAAGAATAATTTAACAACTTTATCCCAATCAAAAAAGAATTCTCCATAGAGATATAAGAAAGATTAGTAAGTATTGATAAATTTCATACTTTCCTCTCCAAATATTAAAGAAATTAAATAATAATATTATAATCTAAAGTAAATTGGTAATGAAAAATGCAGATATTTAGTTTAAATCCTTGTGAAAAATAATAGGGATAGAGCAAATGTAACATTATTAACATAACAGATACTCTTATTCAATACACATCAGAATAATTCATTGTAGAGAGAAAAAAACATCTCCTAATCTTATTTAAGTAATAAATTAGGAGCACAAAGAATTTCATATATATGAAATTATAACATTTTAGAGAAATTTTGAATTATGTATTTCAAGAAGTTTGTGTTGAATATCGGAAATATATTCAACTTCTTTGTGAAGTTAAACGAGAAGATAAAAAATTAACAAGCGTAGAAAAAATAACAGCACAAAAAATCTAACTCCAGCTTGATGTCACAAGATGTAGATGATTAAGATACTACTCTAGATCTGTCTAGGAAAAAGATAAGGTAAAGAATGATTTATCTCAGCTCATTGAAAAAATAAAAACAAAAGGAATGAAAGACAATATTTTCTAAATACTTGACATAATAGTTTAATTGTTTTGAGAGAAATTAAAAATTTTTAGAAGGGTTTTTTATGAACTTTTTAGTATTTTTATATGCTTATATGGATGTTTTTATCATTAAAAAGTATATTGGAGTTAGCATTAATCTTTAGTTTATATTTTTTTATGAAATCTATCAATGATTAGGAATAAACTTCATATTCTCTTTTGTATCATTTTTAGCATACTTTTAAACAATCATCTTGTCATATTAGTTTTAAATATTCACCTTTCTTGTATAAGACTATTTCAATGTTTTTCACTTTTGTAACATTGTACTTTCTCAAGTAAGGCTTGGTTTCATATCGGTCCAATAATATAAAAATTTAAACTGGCTTTAGAGTATATCTATTTGCTATCAATTTAATTTTCTATATGAAAATTTATATTGGGTGTAGCTCATTCAAACAAGCATCAAAGAAGAAAAATAATCAACAATGTTAAAGTTTGGAGACAAAAGTGAGCAAAAACTATTTAAGTGAATGGAACAAATTTTAGTTAGGAAATAAGCCAAAAATGTTTAATCATGGTATTTAGCCACGTGCATTGCACGCGTATAAAAATATATATATATCAATTATTTATCATGCTGAAATATATGCATTTAAATGTGTTTTTACGCGTGTACACACAAATCATACGGTATCAGACATTTAAACGTGCTTGCTTGAAGCTATACTAAATTGTGTTTCTTATTTTTGTATGCAATAAAATGGTAAGGAAAGTCTATTAAAAGTTGCAGGGGCACCAGTAGTTACTATATTTAACTTAGAAGCAACATCTCTAGATGCACTTCAGAAAATATTACGTAAACTCAGCCTATTGCAACCTAAGGAAACAATAATATTTTTTTCCTTAACGAGAGAACAACATCGGGCTCAATGAGTACTGATTTGACAATAAATTTGTGGTCATTTTCCAGAGATTTTCACCATATAAACTTGTTTACCAATTAGCATGTGGACTAGTTTAGGATTCTTTCTAGATCAATGCTATTACGAGGTGCATGTAGTCCATGGCTACTAACGTAACATGTTACTCCCTATGGATACTAAATATAAAATCTATTGAGGTATCACTGCCAAGCATACTCCAATAAGGATCATTGATAGTATACAGCAAAAAATTTAGGAAAGCTCCAAAAATGAACAAAGTTTACAACCAGAAATCAACTTGACAACAATCCATTAAAGCCAGACAACGAGTGTTACCAGGATACCCTATTTTCACCAAATTGTCTGTGTTGGATAGTCTGATATGGCACGATTCATGGGCACCCGTGTTCTAAGATATGGGTACATCTCATACATAGAAAAATATAACACTATAGCATTTTCCTAAAAAGTCTTAGAAATGATATTCTAGAATGGGTCTATAAGGGAAAAGTTAAAACAAGTGTTAACAAGTACCATGATAAATGAACAAGAGAGAGAGTGTGTGTGTGTATGACTTGCCCTCCACTAAGTAGTCTAGAAGAAGAGTTAATTAAGCTGTTTTTGCCACAAAAAAAAGAAAAGAAAGCCAAAAAAAGGTGACACCGACAAGGCATGAACATAAGCCCAGGACCAAGTAGATTACACGAGAAAGTCATAGATAGACATTCAGAAACAATATCTCACAGGGAGTTTGCTCCTCAAATAGGCACAGAATCTTAGCCTTCCAATCTATGAGTCCATTATTTTTTATTTTTTTACTTTTTTCCAATTATTTACTGTTTCTATTTGATAAATTAAACATATAACATAGGCCAGCTACAAATTAAGGCATTTTTCAGAGTGGCAATAAGAAAATACTTGAAAATACCTGCAAGTATCCCAATCTCCTGAATGCCCAAAATGCCCTTGGTGACTTATCAGATGCTTCTCTACACACAGCCATCTCCAGACTCTCTTTCCCGCTTCCATCCAACAAATCACACAACCCTTCCTGTAGTAGAGAAACAATTCCACCGTCGCAAAATTCAAAAATTCAATAGAAAAATTAAATCTTTAAGCATTATCGATAGTTAAAACTTAATATCGATCAAAACCTAATTTTTTTTTAAAAAAAAATCTAACTATAATTCAACTCACCCCAGCTTCGAAATCCTCAGGGCTAAGATTCACTGCTCTCTGATAACATTTAGCTGCCCTTTGCTCATCAACCGAAGTCGTGCTATAATAATACCCTAGAAATCTGAAAGAGGCGCCATCGCTAGGGTTTAGCTTCGCTGACGCCACGAAATGCTCCGCCGATTTCTCTTTGTACCGCTTCGATTCCTCTCCGACTGTTTCCTCCCCCTTTTTCCAAAAGAAAAGTCCCTGGATTGGACAAGTTGATCAGTAAATTTCGCAGGTGAGAAGAAACAGGGAAGGGGTTAGGGTTTACAAGATTGAAGTGGTGAGAGGGGTTGTCTGGATCTGACGCTAGGGCTTCTTGCAACTGATTGAGGAGATTGTCGCCCGCTACGCTTGTCATGGCGGGGAGAGAGCGGGGGGCGGGTGTGAAATGGTGGAAAGAGCGAGAGTGTGAGGGAGTGAACCGGTGCGAGTACGAACACAATTACAGAGAATAATAGGATACATATTAGGTTATGTAAATTTATATTAGAAGGTGATACGAGTTGCCGTGCGAGCACTCTTGATCGCGGAATTATCAAGAGTGGGTAAAGAAGAAAACGACAGAAGAACACAAGAGTTGAATTAGGGCGAAGGAAAATACCTTCTCTAGATTATGAGAATCAATTGGATTTTTTACAAATCTCTCTCTCACAATCTCTCTAGATCAAAGAACAACCTCCCTGATCTCTTTTATGATTACAAACTGAGTTCTAAACCCTAGACAAGTCGTGTTTCTATTTATACTAAACAGAAATCTCAACTGGAGCAGGAAACAGACCCAGGCCCGTAACCGCTACGCGGTCAACCGCAGTGCCCAAGGCGGTCGACCGGTCAGAACGTCGAAATCTGGGAAATCGATTACAGGGTTTTCCGGTCGACCGCAGCGCCACCTTCGGTCGACCGCTCTCAGTCCCGAGACATAGTCTGGGTCTGTGCACTAAGCGGTCGACCGCCGGCGAGCCCCTCCTTCTCTGTTGAACCACTTGGCCTTGCTAGGGACCTGACCTTGACGTCCAATGAGAAACGACTCCTTCGTCCCCCGCCTCGTCGTGGTCGTCTTCCGTTCCAAAATGCAATCTTCCTTCAGTGGCTCCTCTCTATCAAACCACAAGTCCTCAACATGCGGTAAGATCAACTTGTCATCACCTTCATCATCCAATAACGGAGGTTCAAACAACTTCAAGTACTCGGCATTGATCACCGAATACATGCCTAAGTAAGGTGGCAAATCTAAACGAAAAGCGTTGTCGCCAATCTGATCGAGAATCCGAAACGGACCATAACGAATAGGCTTCAACTTCTTCCCTTCTCCTTTGAGCCTCTCCTTACTCAATTTTAGCCATACCATATCGCCTTTACTAAAGTTACAAGGAACCCGATGCTGGTCATGCTTCGCCTTGTACTTAGCTTGTGATTTCTTCAATTGAGCTTCAACCGTGGCATGAATGTTTGCAATCTTCTCGAGAAATCGCTGAGCATGTAGTCTTTCACTCCCTTCCTTTCCGTCCACTGTGGCTTCACTTGAAAACACAAGATCGAACGGGCTCGGCGGTAAAAACCCATAACAAGTCTCAAATGGTGACTTTCCGGAAGATCCATGAATCGCCCGATTGAAAGCAAACTGCAGATATGGTAAACTCTCATCCCAAGTCTTAGGATGCCTGGAATTATACCCACGCAACATGTGCATCATAGTCCGGTTGACTACCTCCGTTTGTCCGTCCGTTTGTGGATGAAAGGTCGTGCTCTTCTTCAATTTAGTGTCCATCAAACTCCATAAAGAATCCCAAAAATGTCCGAGAAAACGGCTATCCCGATCCGAAATAATCGAATTCGGCAACCCAAAGTGCTTCCACACATGCTCAAAGAACAATTGTGCTGCACCCGCTCCCGTCACGGTCTTCTTACAAGGAATCAATATCACCATCTTGCTGAACCGGTCCACCACAACGTACAAATAGTCATGCCCGCGCTTCGTAGTCGGCAACCCTCCTAGAAAATCCATAGAAATGCTCTCCCATAGCCTAGAAGGAATCGGTAATGGTAGGTACAATCCCCTCTTTCTGTTAGAAGGCTTCGAAATACAACATAACTTACACCCTCCAACATACTTGGTCACATCATCAAGCATCCGTGGCCAAAACACATGTCGCCGTAGATTGAGAAGCGTTTTCTGAATGCCAAAATGCCCTTGCACACGCGAGGTATGTGCTTCCCGAATCCACTGCAACCTATCACCATCCTCCGGAATGCATAGTGATGTCCCACGATACAATAAGCCATCATCTCCAAGTGCATACTCCCTCCTTTGACCAGCCTTCGCCTGCTCAAATACACTACCGAAGTCTCTACTGGATGCATACAACTGAACATACTAAAAAGGAACCAATGGCTGAATACGCGTCGCCACCAACAAAGACCTTATCGGTGGGCGAGATAACATATCGGCCAACTTGTTCGTCGCCCCCTTCTTGTACCTAATAATGATGTTGAAAGCCATCAAATAAGACATCCACTTCATGTGCCGTGCCTGCTGTAGCTTTGTCTGGGCATGTAAGAACTCCAACGGCTTATGATCCGAATGCACGACCACCTCCTTCCCTAACAAGTACACCCTCCAATGCTTAATTGCTTGATATAGTGCATAGAACTCCTTATCGTAGGTTGGGTAGTTCGCAATAGCACCCGAAAACTTCTCAGAATGGTATTCCACCAGCTTCCCATCCTGAATCAACACCGCGCCCATCGCATAATTAGACGCGTCGGTCTCTACCTCGAAAGTCCGCTGCAAATTCGGCAATGCCAACACCGGTGCCTCCGAGATCTTTCTTTTTAGCAACTGAAAAGCCTCCTCATGCGTCCTTCCCCACTCAAACTGAACTTTAGCCTTTGTGAGGCCATGTAACGGTGCCGCATAAGTCGAAAAATGTCGAATGAACTTGTGCAAATACTGGCAAGCCCCCATGAAGCTCCTCACCTCAGTCACTGTCTTCGGCGTCGGCCACTTTGTGATCACCTCCACCTTGCCTGGATCTATCCTCCGCTGGCCCTTCCCTACGATGAAGCCGAGATACACCAACTCGTCCTTCCCGAACTCGCACTTTTTCCCGTTGAGCTTTAGCTGTCCGCCCTGCAACACTTTAAATACCTTCTCAACATGAACAAGATGCTCCTCCCAGGTCCTGCTGTACACCAAGATATCATCAAGATAAACTATCACAAAAACCTCTATAAAGGGTCGCAACAAATCATTCATAAGCCTCATAAAGGTAGCCGGAGCATTGCACAATCCAAACGGCATCACCAACCACTCGAACAGGCCTTGCTTGGTCTTGAACGCAGTCTTCCAGGTATCTTCCTCCCGAATCCTCACCTGATGGTAACCAGACTTCAAATCCAGCTTCGTGAAAAACCTCGCTCCCTCCAACTGGTCCATAAGATCATTGATCCGCGGTAATGGGTAGCGATTCTTGATGGTAATCTTGTTGAGTGCCCGATAATCTACGCACATGCGCCAGCCTCCATCCTTTTTGGGCACCAACAACACTGGTGATCCACAAGGCGAACAACTCGGCACAATCACTCCCGTCTCCAAGAGCTCCTGAACTTGCTTCTTGATCTCCTCGGACTCCAGTACTGATGTGCGGTATAGGCCTATGTTGGGTAAGGAACTCTCCCCGGTCAACATAACATCATGCTCTACACCTCTACGCGGTGGTAGCCCCGTGATCTCCGAAAATAAGTCCGCATACTTGGCCTTTAACCTTTCAAGATCTCCCTCCTGAAGCTTGCTCAAGGTGGACAAGCACATCTTACTCAGCTGTTCTTCATACGGCTGGATGAACAATAAAACGAACTTCCTGCCCGCGTTCACCAACCTCTTAGCCTGAGTTGCTGTCACCAAGCTCGTCTCCTGTGGAAGAGATGCCGAACGAAAAATGAATTGCTCGCCATTCTTGGTGAACGTATACTTTTGGGCTCGCCGATCATATACTGCGTATCTATCCCACAAATAAGGGTTGTCCAAAATAACTTGGCAAACATCCAACGGAACCACGTCGTATGTGACCTCGTCAATATACGACTCGTGGAGTGCAAATCTGAATGAACACGGGTTCACCACACTCAATCTCGCCTCCTTCTGAATCCACCCTAATGGATAAGGCTTCGGATGCTTCACCGTCTTCAATCCCAGCTTCTGTACTAATGCCTCAGATATCAGATTTTTCTGACTCCCTGGATCTACAATAGCATCCACTAAGCTGGTCTTGACCTGCAACTTAAGAACAAAGAGATGCTCCCTCGGGTCGTCATCTTCTTTGGTGGCCTGCTTCCCCGCAATAAGGTTGAGACTGCTATTGGGTTCGGTCATCCCGGGAACCTCCTTCGGACCCTGTGCTATCACGTACGCCTTCTTCTCCTCCTTCTTCTTCAATCCTTTTAGCTTCAGATGAGGATACTTATCCCAACAACGATCAACCACATGCTCTGTCTGCTTGCAGTGATTGCATGTCAATCCTGTTTTCCCCGAGTCAACCTTCTTCTTCTCATCCTTAGACTGAGAGCCACCCGTCTTGCTCCCCGATGGTTTGGAATCCCCCTTTGTCTCATTGCCCTTCTTCGGCCTGCCCTCAATGTCGCCTCTGCGATGGTTTCTACTGAAAACAGCTTCATCTCCTTCCGGATGTAATCATTCAGACCCGCCATGTACTTCATGAAGATGGGGTACTCGGACGTTGCGATGTTTAGGACCATCGCCTGTTGCTGGAACTCCGTTGTGTACTCTTAAACGATCTGATTAAATTTCTGGCGTAAGCCGTACCACTTGTACCAACGCTCCTCAAGGAACCCCACTGGATAGAACTGTTTCCGTAGTAACTCCTTGAACTTGTTCCACGACGCCGCTTTCTTCTCCTATTTGCAATAGGATTTCCACCACGTCAAAGCGTGCCCGGAAAGCTTCAATGTCGCGAACACTATCTTCTCCTTGGACGAATATCCGTAGAGAGTGAAGTACATCTCCATACGTTCGATCCAATCATCAAGCTTCTCCACGTTGATACTCCCATCATAAACAGGAATCTCAACCTTGAAGTCAATCTTCAGATTTTGGTAGTTGTTCTTACCCCCTTGATGTCCAACAGTCTTGACAATCTCAGTCTCCCCCTCTGAATCAGATTCCTCGTGCTCTTCGTCGGATTCGACGAGTTTCTTCTTACCCTTCAAAGAAGATTCCTCCTTTTTGTCTCCTCCGTTGATGAGACCTACGAGTTGGGTAAGAGTCATCTCGATCGTCTCAATCTGCTTCTCCATAGCATCAAGTCTTGTTGAATTATCTGCTTCAGACATCTTCTCCTTCCTTAATTTCTGGACCCCCTCCGAGGAATTAAGGATCTCGCCAAGCTTCTTGTACTGTGAGCGAGTAAGGACCATACACAGGTTCCCCCTACACAGG